GAAAAAGAAACACAGGGGCTTTTTATTTCCAGGGTCGTCTTATTTTGTTCATCTAATCTTAGGAAAACACTTTGAGGTTAAATTTATTTGAAATTATTAGTAAACCTAGAAATTCAGTTTTCCAGTTATTAAATAATCAAACCTTTTTTAGGGAAAAGATGCATGCTTTTTCCACTGTTCTGGGGTCCTTTCTCTTAGAGCAAAGATAGTTCATTAAATCCTTGCTGATAGGGGAATGCACTTATTCATATCAAACTGAATAATTTAGTATCTTTGGGAAATGAGAACTGAAACAAAAACTGGGCTTAACTAATTGAAATATGCATAGAGACTATAGGAGATCAAAATGAGAAATTTATGTGTGGGGTGAGGGGAGATCTCAAATGCTTCTGCTCATATTGTTGTGCTTCATATCATGCTAAACTTGTTTTGAGAGAAAAATTATTCTACTGCAATGAAGTAATTATGCTGTACCTGTGCTCTTGGCAAGCTTCTGGAGCAGGCTGTCAGAATGGGAGCAACATGATGAGGTATTACCTTTCTTGTAAGAAGTCAGATAATATCTCTGGTTTTGCTAGTGAGCTCTTTATTTTCCTTTACAATGTGGCATTGATTAAAGAAATTTTTTTTTGTAGTAACTAGATTCTATAATAGCTAATCCTGATTAATTGATTCTGATTTATATGCCAAAATATTAACCTAGAGGAAGTTTCAACTGTTTATTGGACAAAATACTATTGCTCCATTTTAATTGCACATAAGATCACTAAAAACATCATTACTTTTAGTTGTGGTATTTGGAAGTGAAGGGAGAGTTGCTAAGTTTTTGGAGTTACAATCACTTTTGAGTGTTGCCTGTGTGGTGTTTCTGATTTGTGTGGTTCTTCGGGATCAGCAGTGTTATGGGGTGAGAGCATTAAAGTTTGGGTGGGCAGCCCAAAGAACGTCATTAAAATTTGGTAGTTGGTCTTAACTACATGGGAAGTGTGTATTAGTTTTTTGGATAAAGTTTTGTTTAATAAACATTGGGTAGTGTTAGTTTATCTTTCTCTTGTTGTCTTATAAATATTACCAGTAGAAGTTGTGGCTATATTAAATCTCCTGTCTCTCGGAAACAGGGTGTTGTCATAGAATCATGAGCATCATTGTGGAAATACAGCTTTGTTAGGCTCATTTCTTTAGTACTATATGCAAAAAGTGACAGCATCTATAACACTGCTGTTTAAGCAAATTCTGACAGAACTGTGGAAAAAAAAATAATAAATTTCCTGCAGTAGATGGTATTGATACATTTGACTTTCGATACTTTTTTAAGATTGTGATACTTGTTAAGTGTCTGTAGTTCTCTGATGTTGAAGCTCTGTCTCCTCCTGTGTTAAAGGATGGCAAACTGCAAGCTCTGGCTTGAGATCACCCAGGAAGCTGGTGCTGGGACAAACCTGGCACCCTGTTATCAGCACCCGCTTTCCAAGGCTCTGCTGGCACTTCCTATCAATGGAGACTTATCTCTACTTAAATACAAATAGATTTTAATGAATATTTTTTCTTCTTTTCCCGTTTTACTACCTTTATTGGGTAAAAGTGCTTGTGTAGTGGAATATAAAACATTTATTTTCAGTATAGAAAATGCAAAATAGTTACCACACTAATAAAATACAGTGATGAGTAAATAGTACTTAAAAAACAGTAGCTGTGTATGAGGAATTAGATAGTTGAAGGAAATGGAAGTCTTAGCTGGAAGATGGTTCACCAGAACAGAAGTACTAGAGAACAGTTTTGTCACTTGCTAATGCCTTGCTTTTTGACCATCACAGTCTTGCTTATACATCCATACTGTAAGTCAAGGTCTAGAGGAGTAGGGCTGCTTTGCTTCTGCTAAAGGCGAGTTATTGAGTCTCCCCAGACTTTGTTCTGTAACATCGCAGGGCAGGACAGGCTCTGGATGAGACAAGTGAAAGAGATTACTCTACCATAATAATTTTTCTTATTACTTCCTAGCGTAGATCTTGGAAAAAGCCTACTTTGTTGCAAGCACTTAGTAAAGCAGGTTCTTTTTTTTTTAAAAAAAAAATTCTTATAGTCTATAACAAAAATGCATCTTTTTGCAGTGGTTTTGAACTCTTGCCTGTGGTGTGTTCTTTGCCCCACAGGTATACTCAAACTGTCCTTAAAATCTTTTCTAAAGACTATAATTAATCAGTACACTTTCCTTTTTAGCATATGCCTATATAAATTAATTTGTTGTCTGCTTTCAGTCCATTTTTCAGTCATACTTTGATTCAGTCAGTCATACTCTGATTTGAATATCATTCTGTATAACTGGAATGTTCCTTAGTTTTGGCACTAACGTACTGAGATATGAAAGAGGGGGAAATCTTAATTACCAAGTTGTTTCTCTGGGGGGAAAACTGAGATCTTCACCTCAAACTACAATTCTTATGTGTGGTGGTTGATCAGCTTTTTCTATAGGTACTAGGTTGTCGTTTTTTTAAAATTAGATTTTGTCTTTTAATGCTGAACAGTACAGTAATTGCAGGAGTGGATTTTTTGTGTGTGTTTTGGCTTTTTGAGACCCTGGGGCATGTGGGGTCCTGAGACAGATTTCACGTGACCCGGCTGCCAGTGGTTCCCCAAAAAACACTTCACACGTCCTTACGGTACCAGGACCTGTCCAGTGAAATGAAAATACATCTTGTAGCTTGTTGTATAACTTGTATTGTTTCTATCCTGAACAGCAGATACTGTTTTAGAGATATTACCTCATAGGAATATGGTATCTTCAGTGTCAATGCTGCTGGCACGAGGGAGGGGACATTAAAAGAAAAGGAGAGTTTGGTGTGAAACTCCAAAGCAGACAATGTTATTGTAAAGATTGAAGGAATTTATGAAACAAAAAGAACTGAGGGAAGAGAAACCATGTGTTTCCATCTCCAGTTTGCTAATTATACTTTTCATAGGGTTGTGCCATTGGAGTTAATTCAGCTCTTGAATGGAGATATGGAGGTAAGAAGGTAATTGGAGGTGAAAATGAAGGAGTTTGATAAAGCTACAAATCTGGTTGTGGTTTAAAAAGGTGATGTTTGGGATGCTTAATTTGGGTCAAGCAGACCCCAGCAGTTCTCTGAGTGATGCCAGACTAGTGACTGCGTGAAGAACCAGAACTGGCCCAACAAGTGAAAACACTTGTTGCAGAGCTTTCCCCCTGGGATTTTTAACGCTTTGGATTTCCAGTCCATCTCTCACTATGCATTTGCCTGAACTGTCACAGAGGAAGGTGAGAATAAGCTGGAAAACAGAAAGCATTTAAACTGGAACGACTGCTGAACAAATTAGTATGAAATTATATCCTCTGTCTGTCAGAGCGCGCCACGCAGTGCACCATCTGTGCTTTCTTTAGGAAAGAAAGATGTTCGGCTTTCCGTAAAAACTCAGAATGAACAGACCATTCAGCCTCATCTCTTACTTGGCTCATACCGGTTTCTGAAGATAAAGTGATGCTGTAGAAGGATCAGACTCTTTTTCCAGGCAGTATCTGTGAATATTTCTCTTGGGGTTTGATGTTTCTGAAGTACCTTGAAGTGTTCAAAAGCCTCTGAGAGAGCTTTTTATTAGCTAGCTCCTGCTTTTTTATTTATTATACTGTCTGCCTCACTATCCAGACCATTAGCAATGAAGTGGTGGTCTTGGCTTCCTGTAATAACTTAATTTTATAGGATATAACATACTTCTTCACCTGCTGTGTACCTTTAACTTGCCAGTGTCTGTTAACATGGTGGTTATTAAAAGGAGTCTGTGCTTGCAGGGAGGAATTTGCCAGAGAACAGGCCAAGTGACTTGGTAGCTGAACTTTTTTTTTCTTGAAAACCTTTGGTATACTCAGGTTACGTTTCCTAATGGCAAAAATATGTAAGAAATACAATCCTTTGCATTAAAAATAATATATATTTGTGTCTGTGGGTATCTTTTGGCAATACTCCAGTCAAAAATAGTACATCCGTGGCAACATCATGTATTTAGGTATGAGGGCCTACTGCTTGCTGAAAAAAATAAGACAAACACTATAGTACATTCCCTGCTTTTATCTTCTAGAAGTAAGTTCTTACATTACTCTTTAACTGTTACTATTATACATTTTACAGTTCTCAGGTTTTGCTGTCTTTGTGACCACAGTGTGACCACTCTGCTGTTTTGAGTAAATGAACCTTTTTTTGAATAGCCTTTAAAGATGGCACTTGCTGTGAAGTGGGAGGCAGATTACCTCACTTTGATGTCTCAATATGTCAAGCATGGACTCTTCATGTTTTTGGATGACTTTCACAAGTTCAGATGGTGAACAACTTTTACATTTTGATATTTGAGATAGGGAAGATCTCATTACGACTCCATCACTCTGACTACTTTAGTGGAATATCAGCAAGAAATTGCTGGTTTGCTTTGGGACCTTTTCAGAACTGGATACATTTTAATTGTCTTTAATTCTGCTTGCTTATAAACCATAATCTTAAGTGTAGCTACAGTCTAAATAATTTCTCGACTTACCATTTTTACAGAAATGATGCATTCATATTCTACTGTATTCCATTCCACACTTCATCCTTCATTCTGATTCTTTTAAAATAATTTTGCACTGTAAATACATTTGTGAGGAAAGTGGAAAAGCCTCTTTGTTTTTTGAAGATAGATCTGGCATATACAATTATTTAAAAGATTTGTGATTGAGAATTGCCCATCGGTAAAAGTCAAAGGTGAATTTGCATGCCCTTCTTCTCTTTTGCATTTCTCGTGGTTAACAGAACTCACAATTCATTATACACCTCTCTTCCCTCGGACACAATTCTTGCCTACTGACAAAGGAAGGTCTTTGTTCCAGGTTGATGAGCTAAAATGCAAGTAAATTTTGGTGTGACCTGTAGAAACATACTTTATCTTCCTTCTCTTGATATGGTGATAAGCTTCTGATGTTTTTTTCTCCTGTTCTTTTTTTTTTTTTTTTTCCCCAGTGTTCTATTTAGGTGAGTGTTTTACTTTTTTGAGCCTCTTCTGTTCCTCCCAAGAGTACTTGTTCAATGTTTTAAGAAAAATCTCAGACTTGGAGTGCTTTTCAGAGCTTTTGTTAAGTCCCATCATATACAAAATTTATTTTGCATTTCTGTGAAACTTTTTCATCCATGTGAAATAAATCCATTCTGCAAATATGTGCAGTAGCATTTGTTGCAGCTTTTATTTGCTGTATTATGTTGTTGGGCTTGTTTGGCTTAAAAAGCAGAAGTAAAAAGTTCTTATGTCATGTGATGGCTGGCCTCTTTCCTTGGCTTTGTGCTTTTTTTGCAAAGTAGAAGTTCAAATCATTAATTTATGGTCTGTCTTTGCTTTTAGGTCCTACATTGCCTCGACAGAATTCACAGCTTCCCTCTCAAGTACAAAATGGTCCATCACAAGAAGAGCTGGAAATCCAGAGAAGGTATGGTATTATAAGAGAACAGCTGTTCAATTAAGGAATGTTGTGGCTCCTCACCAACGATGACAAATCAGAATCAAGGACTTACAGTTACTCTCTTGCATTAGGGCAGTATTTTATGCTCGGAGTGTTCAGTAGTGCAGCTTTTGGGTGTAAAAACTTTATGGGTAGATCCCTTGCTTGTCGTCTCCACCCGTTCAAATGCTGGATTGCTGCTGGCCTGTCATGGATTTGTTGAAGGTCTGATAAGAAGCCTTGGAAGATTTCATTGCTGTTGTTTTCAACCAGACTAATTAATTTTCCAGTGCCTGCGGTGTCTTCAGTTTTTGACACATGCATATAAAGAAGAAAACAGCAAGCAAGGAAGGAAGTTTTAACTTTTAGAAGTAGAGAATTAAGCTGTCATGGAGAGTGACAATTTTTCTTCCTGAATGTGGATGCACTCGGTTGCACTAGATCAAAATATTGTATTGGAAAGCTTGTTCACCTTTACACTACACTAGTTCTTCACCAAAGAAACCTTCATTTTCTGCCTTTAGCATATATAAATTTATGGAACGTCTAGTAGTCTTAACTTTCAGCTGTAGCAATACTGGTTATATCTGTGCTGCCCTCGGGGAGTAATCCCTGTTCCCTGCCCAGTCAGCAGTCCTCCAAGCTGAGCTGTTCCCTTCAATGAGAAGCCACTGTACCCTGTCCCATGCTCAGTAGGATATTTTTCAGACCTGTAGCATTCTTAACATATGTGGGGTTTTTTCAGTTCCTTTTAAATATCACTATGTATCAATCATGTGCTCAAATTCTGGGAACAAACCTTTTACTTGCCATATTCCTGCTTTTTTTGGCAATACTGGTTAGTGCTGTAGATTGCCATTTTATATGTCCAAGTCCCAGACACTCTAAGTCTTCTAGAGATAGTTTTATCAGACTAAGTTAAATGAAAACAGTAAGACCTTGGGCTGTCCCAAGCACACTGCCTGTGGTGCGGACCTGGATTATTTTACCATCAAAATACTCCCAGGAGATTAGCTGTTCCCTTCCAGAAGGGATGCTGAGAGTCGTTTAGGTCACATGCAGTACAGATACAGGGAATGGGATCCTTGAATAAATAGGAAGTGGTCCAGATTGATGGTGTAAATGCACTTAATAACTTCCAGTGGTAACTGGAAAAATATTTTAACATGTTAGATCTAATTGGCGCTGAAGGTTTTTCTGTTTTGATATTTTGCCTTTAGTTTGTTTATGCAAATTTGAGCAGAACCAGATTGCTAATTTGGGAATAATTCAATTTGATAAACTAGCTATGTGTGTTGAACAAAGTTTCGACATCAAAATTGGTCATACTACTTCATCTGCAGTATGTTCTTAAATTTGCACAGGGATTACTTTATCTGAAAGTCTTGTTTAAAAACAAACAGCAAGAAGCTCATTGCAAATCTGTCTGATGTGTTTACCTGTGAGTCTGCTGTCATGATAAAGGTCTTTTATGTCACTTCTTCAGACAGACTTTTAAAAAGCTTTTTTCTTTTATATTTATTCTGTTCCACAAAATAATAGCTTTTAATATTTTTATTTCCTGTCTATTCCTTTAGGAGGCTGCAATAATTGAAATTCATAATGCTGAAATACATTTCAGAGAAGCATTGTAGATAGAGGTCTCCTCAGAAAAAAAGTGCTGCCTCATATTAAGAGCTCTCCAAGTCTCTCTTGATTTCTTTTGTGTGTAAAGGACATATTATCAGATGGCATTCTTAGGGCTTCACTTTCTCATGTGATCAGTGTGCTCTACTTGTTTTCATCTAATATAATGTCCTCTCTCAAGTCTGGTCCTGGTTTTGATTTGTTTTTCCCCTGAAAAAGGATAGAGAAGTGGAATGAGTGTTTACTCGCGTGGCTAGCCAGATTGTCTGTGGAAGGACTATTGCTGCTGTGCCATTAAGCCTAAGAAGAACATGTAATTTTGTTAAAATATTTCACAAATGGTCCTCCAGTCTCTTTACTGCTGTAACTGTATGATTATAATTCAGTTCAGTTTAAGCTAAAACTTTTCTTCTGCAGTAGTTGTCTTTCAGCTTCTAGACTGTAATAACAATAGTCTTACCACCATAATGTAGAGAGTAGTAAATAGTTGGGAAGAAAAGGTTTAGGTATATATTACTTTTAGCTTATATACAGGTGACATTTACAGTCAGTGTGGGCAGAATTGAATTCTGCAAGGACCAGTAAGACTCCAGGGAATGCAAGAGGAGGAAATAAATGTTACTGTGTACCATTTATTAACATCACAAACACGGGGTTTGTGATGGATCAGTAGAAAGACAGGCTTTATATCTATTGCTTGTGAAATGCATGTCTGTGGGGTAGGGGTTTTGATTAAGATGTGGCTTGAGAATTGTTGTCTTTAAGTGCTGGTCTCATATCCCTCCCCTTAAGTGCACCTGATTCAGTAATGTTTGACCGACTCCCATCTTAAAAGATATTTAGGAAAATATTTTTAAAAATTATTTTAAGCCTGAGAAAAAAAGATCTGCTTGCATAAAAATTAAAGTAGAAAAAGGGACCCCATGGAGGTCAGCTGGGCCAACCCTCTGTCCAAAGCGGAGCTAATTTCAAAGTTACATTTTGTGGCTTGTAGCTTCAGGGTTTTCCTAGACACAAACAGAAATGTTTCCTCAGAAATGTTTTGTCAGAGGAGTGACCAGTGAAGAATGGCATATAAAAGAGAGCTCTTTGACTGATCTGATGTTTTCCTTCGCTTTTGTAACTGGTGTTCAAGAATCTTGGGGAAATTGGGAACTGAAGAATTAAATCAGATCATTGTCAACAGAAATGTATTATTTTGGTTCAAAGATTTTTCTCTATTTTAGAAAGGGTTTAGTTGCCCTGTGTTTTGAGTAAAAGTACTAAAGTAGTAATACTACGTTGTTTATTTTGCTGCAGAGGCTGTTGCTTGAATGTTTGTGGTGTTTGCTGTGCAGCAATGACAATCTGTAAAGCCATTAGGACCCAATGTGTGATCTAAAACTCTGAGGTTTTTGAGGCCAAGATTTCACACAAGGTGGTCAATGAAATTATTTTGTCTAGTGAATTGATAACTTTGTTACTTTCTTTTAAGAAGCCTTAACACATAGTATATGCTTTCCCTGTCGACGTGGGGAGTACTTTAAAATAACTGTAATTTTCCATAACTTGCACTCATTTAAGTACAGTAATAACAAGCTTTAAAACGCTCCACCTTCCATTTTCAACCCTCAGAAATGAAGGGGATTTTTTTGTTACATGGGTTATTTTTCATTTTGTCAAAGTGGTAGGCAGTGTTTATAAATTCTACTGATTGCTGGATAATGACCCAACTTCAGTTGACACACGTAATTGTTAATAACTTCAGAGTTACTTAATGTCAAATACCATTTTAAAATATAAGATTAGTTCATGGCATGCCTCTGTGTGCTACTCGTGCATGTAAATTTACCTTCTCTTCTAGCCACGATAAATATATTGTCAGGAATATGAGTCACTGAGTTGGTATCTAATATGACACTTGGGAATTTAATGAGTTAATGTTTATAAATAACTTCAAAATCATCGCTGCTTCATAAATAAAGAGACCAAGAACACCAGAAACAGAGAAAGCATATCGATTGTAGAATAATGAAGGTGTACAAGCCGCCCGTTGTCCTTCAAGGGCGTAATGGACCAAAACTTGACCGACTTCTGTCGTAAGTACTTAAAAATGTTGGAAGTTTGCATAAACATATTATCCCGGCGGTTTGTCATTGTTAAATACTTCTTTTGCTTACAGTTTTAGTTTATTTCATGGATTGGGATGATACCGTTAAAGAAAACTGGGTGTGTGACTGCTAGAAAGTAGTATTGATACAGTGTGGTTGTCATAACATCTTTTGGGAGGGTTCTTAGCACAAGGGCAGAGGCTGACAAGGGTGGCAGTTTCTTATTTACCGATAGACTTAAAGGAATGCTTTTAATTTTACATAGTGAAAGTATTTTTTCTGAATTTCGCTAATGTTAATTTTTAACTGCAGTAAAAGAATCCCCCCCACACACCCCAATAAATTAGTAATCATTACTGTACAATTCCTGCGCTGTTTTGAAGACATGTGTGGAAATACTGAAAAAAACCCAACAACCCAAACTGTTTCCCACAATTCAGTAGCAAAGTGTAAGTGTAGCTATAATGATTTAAAGGAAGGAAAGTTTGGCCGTTGCTTTGTGTCCCTGGTAGCCTGGTTTCTACTGATTTCCCACAGCCCATGACCTTTCCCTAATTAGTAGCCAGATGTAGTTTCTTGTTTTCCCAGCTTATTTTTGAGGAAGTAGGATCTCTTTAAAGGCATATGAATTGATTAGATAACTAAGCAAACAGTTCTAATCAGAGATATGCATAGGAATATAATATAGTAGTTGCCTTTTTGGTTTGGGGTATAAGAGTGGTCAGTAGAATAGGGACAGGAAACAAAAGGAGACCAGCAGAAAGACCCATCTGTTTATCTCACTTTAAGGACTTAATTTTTTTTTTTCTTGCCCTCAAAGTTTTTTGGGTTTGTGTTTGTTGTTTGTTTTTTTGTTCGGTGGGGGTTTTTTTGGTTTTTTGGTTGTTTTTTGTTTTTGTTTTTTTTAGCGCCTCTCTCTTCCTCTTCAGTTTCTTCACAGTAAAGTTTTCCTTCATTCTGTCAAGTCTAGCTTTCAGAGACTTAATAACTGGCTTTATGGGGAGGTAATGGGTGCTGTCTGGTGAGGGTACTGAATAGCTGTAGATGTTGGGTAACATTGACATATTTAGCAGGCTGAGAAGAGCACTCTTCCATTAAGCAGTCTTTTGACTACATTGGCAAAATTGCTGCCTTAATTGCTGCAATTGAATATGGATGTTGCTTGAAGGGTGGTTCTGACAAGTATCTTAGTTAACACTTTTAAAAAATGTCTCTTTGAAATCTTACCCTTTCTGCAAAACTTTCAGTTCTGTGGTGTTTTTCTGTTTAATG